AAAAGGTTCTTTAGTTATTGATCGGAAACCGTTTTTGCTTACAAGGTCAATGTGACCTTGACCTTTGACCCCTTGACCCAAAATCAATAGGGTCATCTACTGGTCATGACCAATCACCATACCAAGTTTGAAGTTCCTACGCCTTAAGGTTCTTTAGTTATTGATCGGAAACCGTTTTGCTTACAAGGTCAATGTGACCTTGACCTTTGACCCCTTGACCCCCAAAATTTCAATAGGGGTCATCTACTGGTCATGACCAATCACCATACCAAGTTTGAAGTTCCTAGGCCTAAGGGTTCTTTAGTTATCACTCGGAAACCATTTGGTCTACGGACCGACGGACCGAGGACCGACGGACCGACAAGTGCAAAGCAATATACCCCCTTTTCTTCGAAATGGGGGCATAATCATCATTAATAACTTCATACAACACTGCATGTCATATGGTACATTTAATGTTGACTTAAATTTTCTACTACCATATTTCGAGCCTTTTACTAATGTATCAAAAGCTACTTTACAAATTTTACACATGTGGATTGTTAATGCCTTATACTAACTAAAATTTCTTTGTATGCTCATTTAACAACATTTGTACTGATTAATTTTTTTCTCTCAATTTTCAAATAAATAAATAAATAAATAAAAAAAAAATTAATATAAAAAATAAATAAATAAAAAATTAGCCTGTATATTTAGAAGAGGGAAATTGGAAATTAAATGAACTTACTAAATTTGTGAAATGAATTTGCCCATCTTTAAATCTGTAACGGTCCATTCAAGGTTAAACATACTCAGATTTTTTCAAAGATATATTTGCACCTTTCACATATTATGTGTGCTTTAAAATAGATATATTTCAGGTAACTTTCACAGATCAAATGAAAATATGTTTAGTTATTATTGGCTGGGGTCATATGGTGATTTCCGACTTTACTGGCAGAGAAAGACCTCAGGTGCCCCTCTGTGCATTATTTCAGGCAGTGAAAGGCACACAAGTAGACCCACCGCCATTTTGTAAGGTAGCTGGATAGCTTCACAACATGAAAGAATCCAAAGTCCTTGGCGGTATTCAAACCCACATGACAACGTCAGTGGAGCTCCTTTAGAGATCAGAACAGTTTGAATAAAAACAATTTCAAATATTTTTTACCTTTCCAGTTTTCTCATTTGAACTCATTACAAATGAGATGATGATGATATCTTTATCTCTTCCTTGGTACTGATCCACTGTATTAACCTCTACCTCTGACATTAAATGACCTTTACCTAGTTTCTCCCTTATATGTAACACCTGGCTCCTGTAAGGGGCTATAACTCCTATACGACCACATTCTACCCCTGCTCGGTGTAAGTTCAATATCACTTGTTCCACAACAAATGCCTCCTTTTCGTTTCGATATCCACCAGTCTTCACTTGAATGTGATTGGCTGATATAGATTTAGTATCAAGTATAACTACGGAATTGCACAACGTTGAGTCAAAAATTCCCTTCATCCACGGCTTACTTTCCAAAATATCTCTTATGACATCAGGTTCTGGAAACATTAATGTCTGGTTGGCTACAGTATCACTACCACATTTTAAGCATCCATTATAAACTATAGTATTACTTATACTCATTATTTCACTATTCATTCGATACTGAACATTGAGATCAAAGGTAGCACCGAGGTTATCCAGCCTTAGAAAAAGACTCTCGTCCATACCAAGCTCGCGAGACTCTTTGCTCTGGACAACAGGGGGGAGCTGTTTTGGGTCTCCAACCAGAACAAATCTTTTGGAGCAAAAAAGTGGGCCAAGGCACGCTGGTTGGAGGACCTGAGATGCCTCGTCGACAATACAAATGTCAAACTGTCTCTGGGTGAACACAGGGTGGTTGATTCCAAGGCAGCTTGTGGCAACTATTTTCTGTAAATAGACCAAGAAAAAACATAGGTATTCTTTCTTAAATTTTCACCTTTCTTGGTAGGTGAAAAAACATTTAAAAGTGATATAAACAGTTAGAAAAAAATTGCATTTTATAGCATTTCAAGCCATGACGCTACATCTTTTTTTTTTAGATTTTTAAAATAACTTAGTAGTAAAACATTGTAATTTTACAAACCTGGGAATTAAAGAATGTTTCTAAATCAGTAGTGTTTGTTATCCCTCTAGCCATTGTTTCCATGGTAAATTGTCTAATCTCTCTATGTACCTTTGCAACACGCCCGATCCTGAGAAACTTCACACCATCCTACAACATACAGACTACATCATCATCTTGTTTACAATAAATTTTATTGAAACAAATTTTATTAGATTTAGTAGACAAAAGTGACTTATAAAGCTATTATATGACAATGATAGACAATCTACATACATGTATATCAACAGTCTATAATTTTAAGATAAAACTCATCACTAAAAGGTGTGAAAATTTTATGATTTTGAATGTATAAATTCTATGGTGATTGATAGACCAGAGTATGATTAAGAACATTACATGAAATTGTATCATCATAAACATCATGATATGAATGACATTATTTGAGCCCCGTCACGACAAAACCAACATAATGGGTTTGCGACCAGCATGGATCCAGACCAGCCTGCACATCCACACAGTCTGATCAGGATGCGCAGGTTGGTCTGGATCAATGCTGGTCGCAAATGCACTATGTTGGTTTTGTCGTGACGTGGCTCATTTATGGATGACATTGTACCATAGCATTACTACTCACTACATAGTTGGCATGAATGAAATTTGTCATGTGATGACAAACATTCTTTCAGAGTCTCACTCAGGATGATATTTTATATGAACTTCAAAATGAAAAACAAGCATGATTAGAGAGAGGACACTGATGATATTGTATCAGAGGATCTTTCAGGAGTCAACGTTGACCAAATTTTATCAGAGTGTCAGAAAGGAAATGACAATGATAAGATTTTATAGGAACATAAAGGAGATAACATTGATGAAATTTTTATAAGAACATAATTTAGGAGACCACAATGATCTGAATATCAGTAAGGAAATACCATTGTTAAAATATTATAAGAGGATAATTAAAGAGCAAACATTGATCAAATGCTGTCAGTAGCATTTTTATACAAACATAAAGGAGACAACACTGATTCTATTAGAGAACCATAAAAGAAATGACAATGACGAAATTCTAGAAGAGAATCATTATGAAAATGAAATTGATGAAATTCTTTCTGAGTATTTAGGAGTCTTCATTGATGAAATTTTACCACAGTAAAATTAGTGCTTCAGACATAGTGTAAGCTGAACCACTAGAATTTACAAAGTTAAGAACTTACCTTTTTCAGTTTTAGCAGTATGTTGTCTACTGCAGAGTGAGTGTAACTGGTTAATAGAACTGATAGGCCAAGTTCATTTAATACTTTTACAAGGGCAACAATGGTGGATGTTTTACCTGGAAAAACAGTTTTAACATTATGAGTGGGACATAAAAAATTAAAATCTTCATGGACATATGGTGAGTTTCCAGCCTCACTGGTGCAGGAAGCCTTCACATGTTCCACTATGCCTTATAGAGATGCTTCTGCATTCGGTTAATTTGATTTTCCTCATCTAATCTTGAGGGTACAAACAACTTTTACAGCTATTGTGTAACATGTTGTTCACTAAATTGTGAATGGTAGTGCACTGTGAAGGTGTGAAATAGAGAAAAATACTATCCTTTAAGAACCAAAAATAACTCTTCTGTATGTGTTTTCATTTTATCTTAAAGCATGTCACATTACATTGAACAGAAAGATAAAATAACCTGTTCCTGGATAGCCCCTGATCAGCACATAATCTTTACACATCAAAACCTGAAGGAAAAAAAAGAAATCTTACAATTTGACTATCAATTTGTTAACTATCAATTTGTTATTATTAAAATCAAGGGTATGTTTATTAAAGGCCAACAGCTAGTAGGCATACATGTGAACTCTCCAACTTTTAGCAGGAGACTCCCTATTTCTGCAGCCATATTTTTAAAGATTTTTCTTAAAATAAGGGGTATTTTTTACAAATCTACCTATTTTTAATGTCAGAACTTCCTTCTTTGTTTATTGCAAATTCTAAAATCTCCCTCTTTTTGAAGAAAAATCTCCCACTTGAACATCAAAAAAAGTTCTCATGACCTACATGTACTTTAATATTTAAGGTGAAGTTAAACAGCTAGACAAATATTTATTTTACAAGTTTTCACCTGCTTGTAAGAATAATTACATCCCATACTAGAGAGTACTGATCCTTGAAAATTTCTGTAACTTATTTTACAGTACAATGTAGATACATGTAATTCATAATTTGGGAAAAAAAAGACCCTTTGATGTTCAAAATGAAAATATTTGTAAAAAAAAAACCCGCCCCATTGCCATTTTGTGGCATTATCATGCAGCTTAAGGTTTAAATGTTTACTAAAGTTTGAGCTTGCAATTTCTATGAATTGTTATTATTTTGTTATTGACAAGGATCTACCATTTTAAAAATTTATTCTCCATTTTTTCTCACTATGCATTATAAAGAAGACTTTACCTTTAATATAGCTGTTTTCTGTGGTTTGTTGAGACTCTTGAAGACAGATTTAACTGTAAACATACAATTGAATATCAGTAATTTATGGAATTATCCTAACAGAACAAGAGAAAATAACAAGAGCTGTCTGAGGAGCAGTGTGCTCCACTTTTCTAAATTCTTGATTGTAATCTGTACATTTTTTAAATATGAAATAATTTGAAATTAAGGTCACATTGACCTTTGACAAAATAATGGTGACCATTTGACTTATCAAGGTGCATCTTCAAAGTCTGAATATCTTAGGTAAATGCACTTTGATTTAACCACCAGTTTCATGTTTTGTTATTATAGGTCCAAGTGACCTTGACCTTTAAATTTTTTAACCTAAAAATTGGTGTAGCAGGCAGAACGCATCAAGGTGCAGCCACGAACAATGTTTTAAATGTAATAACTGTATTAGTATTGAAGAAATTTTTTTTTATAAAAACCAATATCATTGCCAATATCACTACAACAGAGGTCAAGACAATAGCTTGTTGTTGTTCTTTTTTTCATCAAAGGTGAAGCTTAAAAAGATTAATATTAACTTGTGCTTATATTTAAACAAACAAAAAAATAAAATAAAAAATAGTTTAAACAGAAGTAAAGTAGTAAACATGCAATTGGACAGTTAAGAGAAAAAGACAAATTTTAAATGCTTTGAAATAATTGAGAACTAGAAATGTGTCCATGGCCCCCACCATGCCACTGTTCTGTCAATCTTATGACTCTAGGTCAAATATTTTTTGAAAACTAAAAATCTTTTACTAAGTAAAGGGCAAGAACTTTACAAATACTGAATAAATCCACAAGCAAACCCCAAGGTGCATAAAAGTACACATGCTGACCAACATTCTTGTAAACTTTCAGGCCTACAAGTAAAATACTTTTTAAGCTATGCATGAACAAGTTGAAAATTGCAAATTTATACTACTGTAAGTCAAGGGCAATAACTCTAATGAAACGGTTTTTACTAAGGGAAATAACTCTACAAATACTGGATTAATCCAAAAGCGAAACCCCAGGTGCAAAACTAAATATGCTGAGCAACCATTCCCGCAAGGTTTAATGACTCTATGTCAAATCGTTTTTGAGTTACATGCGACACAAGTTGAAAATTGCAAAAATTTTCTAAGTCAAGGGCAATAACTCTAAAAATACTAGATAAATCCAGACAAAAATACCCAGGTGCACAACTACACATGCTGATCAACATTCCTGTAAAGTTTCATGACTCTAGGTCAAATACTTTTTGAGTTACATGCGACACAAGTTGAAAATTGCAAAATTTTACTAAGTCAAGGGCAATAACTCTAAAAATACTAAAAATACAGACGAAAATACACAGGTGCACAACTACACATGCTGATCAACATTCCTGTAAAGTATCATAACTCTAGGTCAAATACTTTTTGAGTTACGTGCGACACAAAAGAGAACGGACAGACGGACGTAAAGACGTCCAGATTGTCCGGACGGGGGCACAAAAACTACAAATGCTGATGAGCTAATAGTCTATGTTTGATAAAAGATTGATACCTTTTTCAATATTTCCTTTTGACAGTGTATTGGTGAACTCTGGCTTTACTTTATCAATCAGCAGTCTTCTCAATTTATTACTGCAAGATGACAATCTTACAACATTATACAGTAAACAAATGAAATAAACTTCAAATTACATGAACATTAAAGAAAGTTACCAATAAAAACAAGTGACAAGAAATATTTAAAAAAATAAACAGGCTTCCTGCCAATATTACATATTTAGAAACTAACAAATGTCCATAAATCTGCCAAAATGATTAAATTACATATTTCACATAAGATATACATGAAGTTGTCCACTCTGTGAAATTTGGGCTGAAATCCTTTTTGGCAGTTTCCAAGTATTACAAATGCTTTTTGCTTTTTTAAACTGACTTTTGTTGATAATTCATACAAAAGTTTATGTAACTTATTATTATATTTTAATGGTTGGATTTTAAGTCACATCAACACTGTAAATGTCATACTGGGAATTTCTAGCATTACTAGTGCTAGTACCGAGGACCTCCCATGCCTCTTGTAGTGTAATATTTTATCCTTGAACGGGCACTTAACTATAGAATCACCAACTTCCTATAAGCTTGTCAGATAGCTTTCAAATATTAATAAAGTCTAACATTTAAGTGAGATTCAAACTCAGCTCACTCCTTAGCCATGAGCCACCTGTGATTGAAAGTTAAATGAAACAGACTCCATCTAGCAGAAGTAACTGCTACCATACCTGTGTGGATCATCCATCATTAATTTGGAGACATTTGTATATAAAATTCCTGCTGTACTAAAACTGTCACTCTTATCTATACGAAATGTACTCTCCTTCATGCCCAGCAGACGGTCAACAGATTCCCTGAAAACATATGTGTAATTGGGGTATATTACTCAAATTATACAAAATATGTCATACAAAGTTGGGTATTGATTTTAAACACCAATGACCAGAAACAGACATTTGTCAGCAGAGTTAATATATTTATTTTTTTGTTTGGGTATAAAGTCATACCAACACTGTAAAGGTCATATGGTGACAATTTAGCTTTTACTGATGCAGGGAGACTTCAATTGTGTCTTCCTGCATTATTTCAGTATAACCACCAGATATCAAAATTTCTACTCGTCTGCTCGTAATTACGTCAGAATTTAATAGAACTTGATACAGGACAAGTAGAAAAATGTTGCCTGCACATTGGATTTAGAAACTATTTGCCCTGAAGGAAGGGTGACTCTGAAAATATTTTTTGATGCCTGACCACCAATGTTCCATAAACTAGCTTTTTTGCTTCCTCTCAAGGATAAATTTGAAGTCCCTGTCAGGATTTGAACGCAGAGATATAAGGGCAAGTGATTTAAAGTCAGTGACCTACAAAAACAGATTTACCTCTCAGAGAGCACCTGTATGGTAGAGTTTGCAACTTCCTGTACAAAACCTGTACAAACAGCCACCCAGGCCGGATCTTCCCTGCTGATTACTACACTATCTTGGGCTATTATACCAGTACAGGATAATGCAGCATCTCTATAGCAAGAATGCAATATGAAAATAGATGATTGAGCAAGATTAAACAAAATTTTATCAAATTAATTATAAGAAGAAAAAGCCTAAAGCAGATAATACTAGAATATGCATCCTACTTTAATGGAAATTTGGCGTACTTCCTTGCCTTATAGTAATAAATTAAATTTGGAAACAACTTTCAAATTTACCTTCAAACATTTGTAGAGAAAAACTGATTTACTGCCATCATAATTATAAAATCTTAAATAAATAAGGCAATATTTTATTTTGTATGATAAATCTTGACGGACATCTAGTATTTTTTTCCAAAATCCAAGATTTCAAAATTCTGAAATCGAGGAAAACATTTTCATTGTACCAACTAGAAGCATCTATAAACTGCTGGAACCAAAGGTGATTAGCGTTAGCAATCAGTATAGAGCCAGACCAGCCTGCACATCCATGTTGTCTGACCCGAGATTCTACATACTGGTGGTAGCTCAATTTTTGTATCATTATATTGAAATCTTTCTAACTCTGAATGGACTGTTTCATTTTAAAAGCAAATGAAATGATCAATTATTACACAAATTCAGCAGATTAAGGATTAAAAGGCATATTTATTATTCAACAAAATAACCAGTACCTCAAATATTGTGAATGACGAGAGAATGTGAGTATAACAGCATCTTCACCTATCTCCTCACAGATCTCTGCATGTAGTCTCATTCCACCCAAACATAGGCCTGCTTCCTCTCTTTACAATTATAGAAATGTTAATTTAATAAACAATAGGGCAATATTGGCCTTAAATTACTCAACGGAGTCTCATTAAGCTAGGTTACATATCAAAACTCAAGCATTAGTTTAAAACAAAATATTTTTCTTGCACAGTCTAGATATAATATGCCTACTTTCTGTAAGAGACTATTAATTTATTTTGAAGCCAGTGACAGGATCTGGCCAGTTGAAAAGGAAACAAAGATCTACATGTATTTGTGATCAATGTCTAGTAGAAGTTTGGTTTAAATACGACAAGTTATAAAACCCATTATTTCACAGGAAAGGCACTATTTGTCTGTTTTACCAATTAAAGAGACTATAAATCAGGTGAGCTAAGTAAATGAGTAATTCATAAGAAAAAAACAACAATTATCCTATATTTACTATATTTAACCAAACACTGCTAATTAATTGAGCCACATGACTGTTCAATATATTCCCATATTGGTCACAGTAGTATCCAATATATATATTTCATACAGAACAGGTGTGTGCATTCCATATAACATTTTCCATATAATGTTAACGATACAAGCCGTTCACAACACAGTGTTTTTTTTTCTTTATATAAATACTACCTTAAAACTGTACCATTCCCAATAGAAAATAGACATTAAAATTCCCAATTTCCAATGTTAAATTCCCAAAATGGCTGTTCAAAATGCCCAAAAGGCCAAGTGATTTTTCTAAAATCATTTAAATCCAACATATTCATATAAATCACTATTCAGTAGTTCTATTTTGACAGTAGAAGCTATTAGCTATCTTTATTCATGATGTCTAATCTCATTTGTAGCTCAAAAAATGCATTAAAAAATTCCAAATTTTAGTCAATAACGCATTTTTTCCCAATCACTCTGGTACCGGCACCATTCCCAAAGTAGAGAAAAAAAACCCTGCAACAAAAATATTAAAATGACATCTGAATGGAGCAAAGACAGCCTGAACCTTCTAGAACAGATTTCTTTGCCATATTTTGCATCAATATAATTTGGATATTGTTTTAATTGTTCATTTAACATTGAAGTCTGGTAGAACTCCTTTAACATCGTTCTATTTAAAACAGGATATATTTTGACTTGTACACACCTTGAAAACTCATATTAAATTCGCCAGGGTGCTTTTTTAATATAGTTTCCCCAAGTAGTGTTCATATCAAAATATATTCCTGTATGCAGGACCAGATTATTACAGATTTGTTCATTAAAATTCAATCTGATGAACAAAAACTTAATCATTTTTTATGGAAGAATGCATGTAAGAAATAATCCTATATGTATTTTTACTTAAAAAGTCATACCGTTTTACAGAGCTTTTGCACCATATATCTGCTAACGTCTTTTTTGATTGGCCAAGTTGAGATTCTAAATCTAACATGAGACACCATTGGATGAAATATGTCATGTGATCAGAAGTTAAATGTCCTAAAGTTTCATCAACCAATCCTGACATTCCACTAGAATCACTTTGTCTTCCTTCTACTTTTCTTTAAAAAAATAAAAAAAAAAAAAAAATTGAAAAAAAAACAAAAACAAGAGGGCCATGATGGCCCTGAAATCGCTCACCTGTATATAGGCCCCTGGGCCAAGGCCAATTTTAAACCAGGGGCTTTTATTTGAACAAACTTGGTAGACACCCATTGGAAGATGTTTCATGATAAATAAGAGTCTAAGCACTAGCTCTCTGGGGTTTTAATAAGAAGATTTTTTAAGTTTTTACTACATACATATAGGGAGAAATAATGACCCCCCCCACCCCTCGGAGGGGCCAATTTTGACTCCAGGACTTGTATTTGAACAAACTTGGTAGACACTCACTAGAAGATATTTCATGCTTAGTATCTAAACTCTAGCTCTTTGGGTTTTTCATGAGAAGATCTTTTAAGTTTTTACTATACACATATAAGGAAAATCAATGATCCCCAGGGCGGGGCCAATTTTAACCAAATGGCCCTTATTTGAACAAACTAGATAGACACCCATTAGAAGATGTTTCATTTTAAATATCTTAGCTCTATCTCTTTGTGGTTTTTTAGAGAAGACTTTTTTTAGTTTTTACTATATAAAAAAAAGGGAAAAACAATGACTCCATGGGGCAGGGCCAATTTTTACCCCAGGGCTTTTATTTACACAAACTTGGTAGACACCCTTTAAAAGATGTTTCATGCTTAATATCTAAGCTCTAGCTATTTTGGTTTTTTAAAAGAGGATCTTTTGAGTTTTATACTATATACAAAGAAGAAAAATCAATGATCGTCTGGGGCAAAGCCAATTTTTATCCCAGGGCTTTTATTTGAAAAAATTTGGTAGACACTCACTAGAGGATGTTTTATGCTTAATATGTAAGCTCTAGCTATTTGGGTTTTTTAAAAGATGATTTTTTAAGTTTTTTACTATATACAAATAAGGAAAATCAATGACCTTCGGGCGGGGCCAATCTCTCAATTCCTACCTTAACAACATCACATGGCAAAAACAGGCATTATGAAAACTGTTAAATGATAGCATGTTACAGAAAAGTATTTATTTTTGAAATGAGTTAGTTTTTAATCCATATTGATTTAACTTAGTGTACCTCTGATAAATAGAGCAATTTATTAGTTGAGGACATTTCTGACAGGCTCGGATATTTGAAATGGGATCTGGCAACCTGCCAAGTGTAAATGTTTTTGGCTCACTGTCTTCTGTTGATTTTAACACTTGTCTAGATATGTAATACGCCATTTCATTCCGTAACTGAATAAGACCTGAATACAAAGAAAACATATACATTTTTATAAGTGGCACGACATGAAAACTTTAATACAAAATTGAAATTAAACAAACCTTTCAATATAAGTTGAATAATAACATTTGTTTATTTTCCTTTGGTTAACCTTCACCATGTTAAGTTTGTATGATACTCTTGCCCTTGTTTAAATTTCAACCTATTCATTGCAACAATAAGGTGTTTCAATGTTAAAGATTAATTCAGACAGTAAACATTTGAATTTGGTGATACCAAATGTTAGTGCCGGATGGCTCTATACTAGCTGCTCAAACAAGCCATTGTGACAAGCATCTAAAGGATCTAGGGATAAGGTTAACAACCTGTATTTAAATCTGGGGCATAGAAGATTTAAATCTATGCTGGCCACTAGGATGCATACACTAGGATGTACAATTCAAAATCAACTTGTAGCAATTTAATCACATCCCCTGCTGAATGCCAAATGTTAGCTGATACAAGGTGAAAAATATGTACAGAGATTCAAATGGGACACCCTTGGATCACTTTAGTGAGCTATCAGGCATCTATACATTTTTCCGCTATTAATGATCAGTCTTCAACCATGAAGTCTAGATAACAACCATGAAGTCTAGTTAACAACCATGAAGTCTTGATAACAAACATGAAGCCTAGATAACAACCATGTAGTCTAGATAACAACCTTGAAGTCTAGATGACAACCATGAAGTCTAGATAACAACCATGAAGTCTTGATAACAACCATGAAGCCTAAATAACAACAATGAAGTCTAGATAACAACAATGAAGTCTAGATAACAACCATGAAGTCTAGATAACAACAATGAAGTCCAGATAACAACCATGAAGCCTAGATAACCATGAAGTCTAGATAACAAACATGAAGTTTAGATAACAACCATGAAGTATAGATAACAACCATGAAGCCTAGATAACAACCATGAAGTCTAGATAACAAGCATGAAGCCTAGATAACAACCATGAAGTATAGATAACAACCATGAAGCCTAGATAACAACCATGAAGTCTAGATAACAAGCATGAAGTCTAGATAACAACCATGAAGCCTAGATAACAACAATGAAGTCTAGATAACAACCATGAAGCCTAGATAACAACAATGAAGCCTAGATAACAACCATGAAGCCTAGATAACAACCATGAAGTCTAGATAACAACCATGAAGTCTAGATAACAACAATGAAGTCTACATAACAACCATGAAGTCTAGATAACAACCATGAAGTCTAGATAACAAACATAGTCTTGTTAACAACCATGAAACCTAGATAACAACCATGAAGTCTAGATAACAACCATGAAGTCTAGATAACAAACATGAAGTCTAGATAACAAACATGAAGCCTAGATAACAACCATGAAGTCTAGATAACAACCATGAAGTTTAGATAACAACAATGAAGTCTACATAACAACCATGAAATCTAGATAACAAGCATGAAGTCTAGATAACAAACATTAAGCCTTGATAACAACCATGAAGTCTAGATAACAACCATGAAGCCTAGATAACAACCATGAAGCCTTGATAACAACCATGAAGTCTAGATAACAACCATGAAGTCTAGATAACAAACATGAAGTCTAGATAACAAACATGAAGCCTAGATAACAACCATGAAGTTCTAGATAACAAACATGTAGTCTAGATAACAACCATGAAGTCTAAATAACAACCATGAAGTCCAGATAACAAACACGAAGTCTAGATAACAACCATGAAGTCTAGATAACAACCATGAAGTCTTGATAACAAACATGAAGTCTTGATAACAACCATGAAGTCTAGATAACAACCATGAAGTCTAAATAACAACCATGAAGTCAAGATAACAACCATGAAGTCTAGATAACAACCATGAAGTCTAGATAACAAGCATGACGTCTAGATAACAAACATGAAGTCTTGATAACAAACATGAAGTCTAGATAACAAGCAAGAAGTCTAGATAACAAGCATGAAGTCTAGATAACAAGCATGAAGTCTAGATAACAACCATGAAGTCTAGATAACAACCATGAAGCCTAGATAACAAACATGAAGTCTTGATAACAAACATGAAGTCTAGATAACCATGAAGTCTAGATAACAACCATGAAGCCTAGATAACAACCATGAAGACTAGATAACAACCATGAAGTCTAGATAACAACCATGAAGTCTAGATAACAAACATGAAGCCTAGATAACAACCATGAAGCCTTGATAACAACCATGAAGCCTAGATAACAACCATGAAGCCTAGATAACAACAATGAAGTCTACATAACAACCATGAAGTCTAGATAACAACCATGAAGTCTAGATAACAAACATAGTCTTGTTAACAACCATGAAACCTAGATAACAACCATGAAGTCTAGATAACAACCATGAAGTCTAGATAACAAACATGAAGTCTAGATAACAAACATGAAGCCTAGATAACAACCCATGAAGTCTAGATAACAACCATGAAGTTTAGATAACAACAATGAAGTCTACATAACAACCATGAAATCTAGATAACAAGCAGGAAGTCTAGATAACAAACATTAAGCCTTGATAACAACCATGAAGTCTAGATAACAACCATGAAGCCTAGATAACAACCATGAAGCCTTGATAACAACCATGAAGTCTAGATAACAACCATGAAGTCTACATAACAAACATGAAGTCTAGATAACAAACATGAAGCCTAGATAACAACCATGAAGTCTAGATAACAAACATGTAGTCTAGATAACAACCATGATGTCTAAATAACAACCATGAAGTCTAGATAACAAACACGAAGTCTAGATAACAACCATGAAGTCTAGATAACAACCATGAAGTCTAGATAACAAACATGAAGTCTTGATAACAACCATGAAGTCTAGATAACAACCATGAAGTCTAGATAACAACCATGAAGTCAAGATAACAACCATGAAGTCTAGATAACAACCATGAAGTCTAGATAACAAGCATGACGTCTAGATAACAAACATGAAGTCTAGATAACAAGCATGAAGTCTAGATAACAAGCATGAAAGTCTAGATAACAAGCATGAAGTCTAGATAACAAGCATGAAGTCTAGATAACAACCATGAAGCCTAGATAACAAACATGAAGTCTTGATAACAAACATGAAGTCTAGATAACAACCATGAAGTCTAGATATACAACCATGAAGCCTAGATAACAACCATGAAGACTAGATAACAACCATGAAGTCTAGATAACAACCATGAAGTCTAGATAACAAACATGAAGCCTAGATAACAACCATGAAGCCTTGATAACAACCATGAAGCCTAGATAACAACCATGAAGCCTAGATAACAACCATGAAGCCTTGATAACAACCATGAAGTCTAGATAACAACCATGAAGCCTAGATAACAACCATGAAGTCTAGATGACAACCATGAAGTCTAATTAACAACCATGAAGCCTAGATAACAAACATGAAGCCTAGATTATTTGTATTTTAAGTGAATAGTAAATAAAATAGAAACCTTTTTGGTGTATGTGATCAGCAGGTATAATTTTCATACTGGGTTCTTTTAGATACAGCAGCATGCCTTTCTTAGGATCTTTTCTCCGATCTCCACACATCATAGAGTAAAGGGTCACCTATGAAAATATACTGTTAATTAAATCATACTATCAGCCTGTCTACATGTTCTGATCATATGATTCTCTGCATTTGTAAGGCCTTCAACTCAGAGTTCAGGAAAACCATTCTATACCTAACTGCTATTTTAGCATTCTATAGTAAATTTAGTCATTTATTATCTTTCTCAACCATGGAAAATACCAAGTCAATGACTACAAGACCAGAAAAGCTAAATCTCTATCCTGTGGGGAACAACTGGATAGCAAAACCAAGTAATTTGGGTTAGGCTAAATCCCAGGCCATTTTTGATATATCACTGCATGCACCAAGTAGTGAAGTAAAATCACTTGGGATAAAGCATCAGGGCAAAGTAAAAACACTAGATCTAGTAGATCATTTCCCCTGCTTATTCCTGCACCCCTCTTAGTATGAAGTGGAGGTGCAGGGTTACATTACTTGTATACTGCCACATGTAGAGAGGGCATTTTCTACAAGCAAGTGTGATATAAATCCATAACGATTACAAAGTTTGAAATAAAAATATTTGACAAACCTGGCCTTTATGTTCCACAGAGTATGATGTTCTACCAGTCTTCAATTCTAATGGCAGCATGGTTGTACCTGGCTCGTTCTGGTAAATATATTTATTCATGTAAATGTTTGTTATTTATATCAGAAATCTTGGATCACAACAACTTCTTGTAAAAAATCATATATAAACGAAATATCTTACATTTCCATTTTAAACATAAAAATTCTTCTCTATTTAGTGGTTAAGATTGCTGACTTACTTGTCCCTTACCAGTGTTGGTTTGAATCCCATCAGAGACTTTGGTTTTTTTTCATGTATGAAAGCTATCCAGTCAACTTGCAGAAGGTCAGTGATTCAACTCAGATGAAATAATGCAATACTGTGTTTGTGTGACATAAAGTCAAACTGATCCAGACTGAAAGAACTCCATTGCCAAGTGGCTAGGGTCAGTTCCCTTCAAGAATTTTCCCTAGATTACTGTCATTCTGTCATTTTAAAACCTGTTATGGACATTATATTTTTAATGCAAGGAAGATATCCAGCTACCACAAGGAAAATCAAATCAATTGGCAATATTTGATCCCAAAATAATACACTGAAGAGATCTCCATAAATATAAATGAAAAATCATGTAAATGAACTTTACTTTGTTGCAGAAACTAAAGCTTTTCCCCCCATCCTGCCCAAGGTCACAAAAAAAAAATAATTAATTACTTAATCAAACAAGAGCTGTCCGTAAGACAGCGCGCTCGACTTTTTTATTGCTTGCCAATAAAAAAAGTTTTTGCAGTAAAAGGCAATACAAGAATCTCTGTATTTTTAAAGTGAACAATGGCCATGAGCATTAAGATATTTAGTGAAGAATTATTTTACTGAATTGTGTGATACCCTTGAACACTGCAGCAAAGTTTGAAATGTTTAAGTCAAAAGAGGGCTGGTAAGAAAGAAAAAAAAACTAGTTGTTTGATACCCTTGAATATTACAGCAATGTTTATATGACATAATTTATGGTAAAGTGAACAAGTGGATAGGAATGAATTTTTTTTTAGATTTTTTAAGTTTTTTAGTGCTTGCCTATAATACAAAACATTGACAGTTAAGGGCCATAATTCAAATAAAATCTTTGACAGAATTACCTTCTCCTGGACATGTTTGGGAATCATGATTGTAAACAAGTATTCCAACTTTCAAATTAATATCTCAAACAGTTCAGTCAAAAAGTGGACTGGTACTAAAAACTTAACCAAGATTCTAAGTCGATAAAAGGCCTTAATTTTAAAACAAATCCTTGACAGAGTTACCTTCTCTTGCGTACAGATGGGGGTAATGATGTGAAATAGCATTAAAAGTTTCAAAGCAATATCTCAAAGGGTTAAGGCAATAAGTGGATTTTACCCATATTCAATGTATTTTCTAAGTCAAAAAGGGGCATAATTCTGTCAAAAACCTTGACAGAGTTATGTCTCTTGTCTGTTGATGAAGGTCGTGATGGTAAACAAGTATGGTCAGTTTCAAAGCAATACCTCCAATGGTTTTGAAATAAAGTGAGGTGGTACAAAAAACTTAACCAAGCTCAATACACTTTTCTAAGTCAAAAAAGGGCCATAATTCTGTCAAAAACCTTGACAGAGTTATGTACTCTTGTCTGTAGATGGAGGTTATGATGGTGAACAAGTATGGTAAGTTTCAAAGCCATACTTGTAATACTTCTGAAATAAAGTGGGGTGGTACGAAAAACTTAACCAAGGTGTGACGCCGACGCCGACGCCGACGCCGGGGCGAGTAGGATAGCTCCCCTTTTCATAGAAAAGTCGAGCTAAAAATCATGTTCTAGTCACTTTGACTTTAATTTTGTCATAACTATTTTGTTAAATTACATAAATTGTAAAGAAGAGTTAGGCAACGCTTACTTTAATTTTAACTTCAACTGTGAGATCAATCTTTCCCTTAATACCAAATCTGAAAAGAAAAGAACAAGTGTCAGACGAATTAAAACCAACAAAGGGAAGTAATTAAATGAATATTAATGCAAGAGTTATGTTTTTTATTCTGTGACCTATTATTATGTTTCTGGACAAATGTGTGCGATTTCAGGTGGTTGATGAATTGCTTCTACTCCTTCTAGTCATGTAGTTCAAATCAGAAGCAGCCATTAGATGTATTGTTGTAAAAACTATAGTAAAATAAATCTATATAAAACCTTGACATATTCATATTTCATGCAATTTGTTTTTAAATGTTTTATGTGGAGAATTTAACCATAACTTGTGGAGGAACGGGTTAGTATGTGTATCAAACACATGAACACTGTTTAGATTAACTGTCAAACAGTACCATACAAGTCTCAAAGCCTTTCATCTTAAACATAACCTCCTGAAATTGAGTAACAGATATGCCCTGCTATGAATTTAGAACAGTCTGTTTAAGGGATGTCAAAATCAAAATAATTAGCCATCAAACAGACAAGATGGCTGGCCTGGCTCTATACTGTTGGCAAAGGCTAATCAATTATGGTTAATGAAAGTTAAAGGTTGAAATACTGAACAAATAATGCATTACCTTGGAGACCACATGTTTTCTTCTATATCACAAACTTTGGTTACAAGTATGTCTGAGTCACTGGAATCAATAAAATCATAAATATATTACAACATGCATTACTTCATTTCAACAATCAGTGGTTACCATCATAATCACTGATTATATATTGATGTGCATCTATTATTTCTTTGTTAAGACAAGAATGCATCATGTTATATTATGATACAAGCATGAATTGACAAAACATATGCTGTCATATGCAACATCAAAATACTGAAGCAGAATTAGCTCATTATTCTATATTGAGATAGCTCGACATATTCACTTTGAACATGTTAGTATGGAAATATATACATGTTGGACATGTTAGTATGGAAATATATACATGTTGGACATGTTAGTATGGAAATATATACATGTTAACGCCATTTACTTAGAAAATTAAATTTGACATTCTGATACTAATAATGAATAAGTTGGGTATACATCTTTCATAATTATATAACTGTGCACTTTAGCTGTGCATCACTAAATGTGATAATATGATATCCAGATACCAAAGGCCTTTGAGCTGCAGTTCTGCTTTTTGCATGTGAAACTCTTTCATATTGAGGTTGACATTTGTGCCAAGTTATAAGAGAATCTGTAAATCTATGGTGAAGTTAAAGTCTGAATGTGTAGAAATGCACTTATTTTTTACCTTTGACCACTAAATATAACCATGAACTTTGAGTTATAATTCTGGCCATTGCTGGTCTAGAAATAATGCATGGAAGGGCACCCTAGTTCTTTCTCCACCTGCAATGTTGTCATATGACATTAACAACATTTGGAAAGTTATGACCCATTAAAGATTAATCACATAAAAATTACCTCTGTTTTTTGGCAGTGAAGCTACTCCCAAATCTAGTATATTGTGTGAACCATGAGATCATTTGAGGTAAGTAATTCTTTATCTCCTCCATAACCTTCTCCTCTCTTACTTGATTAGCATACCTAAAATAGCAGATTTATACATGTACATTAATTTTATAGATAAAAACATAGATCTGAGGGCAGCAACAGCAGCCTGATAGTATAGGTGTCTCCCTCTATAAAAATTACGGTGGGTTCAAGCCTTACTTTGGTCATAACATTGTTTCCACATGTGACATCAGAATTGGTTAGTCCCTGGCAGATGACTTCAAAGTGACACATATCAGTTGCAAGTACATGTTTCATAATCAGGTTTCTATAAAGCTTAATGATGTAGGATCTCCATGGTTAAGGTAGCTTTAGTCAAAGCACTTGGCCATCCGTGCTGCAGGTTTGAATCCTATAAAGGATTTTGGAATCTTTCATATGACAAAGTAATTCAGCTAGCTTACAGATGGTTACTCATGTAACTACATGCACCAGAAATAATGCACAGAGAGGTGCTTGTAAAACTGCCAAGATATTTGTACAATATGAATTGTTGGTGTCACTGAATACTTAATCAAAAGTGAAATACTGTTTCCTGTTGAACTGATAAACATCATTATCAAATGTTAAATTGCAACTTTCAACCCAAGGCCTATGAGCATTATATTATAATGACGTTAGCATTATAATGGGTAACATTATAACAGGGTGGCAGTGAAATTAAAAAAAAAAAACACACAAAAAAACCAGTTGTTATATGGTATAAAAAACAGAATATAAATACCATATTACTTACATCTCTAGAAGATTACTAAGTTGTTTGACAATGGTGGTTGATTCTTGTATAATACTTTCTGCTGTGCTCAACTTTTTCTTTAACACCTAAAACAACAATTTTGGACATTTAAAGATACTGAGGAACTTATTTTCATCCAACAAAATATAGTATAAATTTGTTGTAAGAAGTAATTATTTTGTCAAAATTTGAAAGAGATTGGTAAAATCCCAATGTCTCAGAAAAAAATGTGGACAGTTTAATGATATTACTAACTTAAAACGGTACAGACCAGTATATCTAGCGCAAGAGTAACTGTTTATAGAGGTAACGAGGCTCTGACAAGATTCCACTAAACAGTGTATGAATTTACAACTTCATTCGCAACAACACAAAGATGTCATCCTAAGAACGCAATCCATTCATAAAAGGAGCATGAAAATGATCTCAATTAAAGCATGCGGCTTGTCTTACAAGTGAGTGTAAAACACGTTTTCCTTGCTCTGGTGTAAACAGTAGATAATCAGAATAAATGAGCTTGCATCAGTTTAGAACCTGGTCTGAAAGGCCTACCTTTATACTAGTGGTGAATCATTTTTAAACCAACAGGCTAATGGTGAAAAAATTAAATAAACTATACCTGTTGAAAGACAGCATGAATAATACTTCCATAAAGCATCTGTATATTTCTACTGTCACAACCCTGTAAAGGGAGATAACTTTCTTATTACTTTCATGTCAAGATGACAAACCTGTTTAATGTTTATCATCATGTTGTATTTATGCAAACACAAAACAAGCAGAGTGTCAAATAAAAGATACAATATTCATACATCTACTTTACCATGACTGATTTTGTTTTTAATAATTCTTGAAATTTTATTTCTGGGTGTTATGCTTAACAATAATGGCCAGATTTTAATGTTGTTGAAATGACATATCAAGGTGCAGTACCTAAGATTTTTAAAAGAAAAATGTTTTAATTTGTGCAATTTACATTTAACATTTGGTCATTGTATATCAAAATATATAATAATTAAAATTTGAAACAAGTGACATTGAGAATTTAACATTCTGATTGCCTTCAGCCTTGACATTTCAGATTCTAGTACTGTAGTACACGTAATATAAACAACTTCTTACCTTAAACTTTTCCTTCAGTATTGATCTACAACAAAGAAAATATGACTTTAAATCATTTTCCTCTCTCACTGTTGTGGGTTCGAAAATTATTGAGTTGTCATGACTTAAAATCTAACAAATCAAGCTAACTTACTTTAGAAAGTATTTTAAGCTTGAAGAAAAATGTACTGACTGAATAGAGAACAGTGCAGACCATGATCTTATCACACAGATGTGCCTGCTGATATTTGTATTTAGTGGTATTTAGAATCATTTGATGCCTGCGGGATAAAGGATAAAGAAGAATTTTTAAACACTGTAATAAATAATCTTACTTTCTCATACAAAAAACACTGGATACAACTGTAGTTCCTGACAGAAGAAGGTCAGGATTGATAATTAGCAATCCAGACTGGTCAGTGATGTGACAAACATTGTCTGTAAAATCTGCGAGGATGTGCACTGTGTCTCCTTCTGATATATGACTGTCTAACCTAAACAAAAATTAACAAATTATACTTCATGCATTTTATTTCTATACTATACATTGTCTTCAATACTATCAAATTGAAACATCTATACAGAGACATACAATTGTTGTTTACAAAGTGTAAATTTGTGTGCTCCCCCCACCCCCACCCCCTGATTAACTGAAATACATATACAATAGCATAATTATGACAGTATCTTGATCTGGAATTTGTATTTGAATCCTTTCAGTGTATTTTACCATGCTAGAATCTTACGAGGAATGGAACTGCAAAGATTGATCCGTCCTAGTAAAATCCATGAGAGCCAAATACAAATACATGTAATAGATCATGTACAAGTTATAGTTAATAATCACATAGGGACTTATTAATATTATACAAAATTTATATACCAGAATCCACTGAGTATACATTTCCGGTGAACATCCCCTGGCTGTGAGCATATGTCTAGTGTCATCTGATGCCTGTCATTTGAAAACTCAACTTTAACAACTGTATGCCGACCATAGCTGCCACATGGAGCTTTAATCTGACCTGTCACACCTAGTACTTCTCTGAAAAAAACACAAACAGTGCATGTATTAACCTTAAACTTGCTGAATTTTACTTCAATGCAGTCAGACTTATCTAGCTTCAATGAACACAATGGAATATATTTCAATCTTACATGCAAAACAAACAAATATCCTCTATTACATTGTAACTGAGCTAACCAGATTTGCTCTGTAATATCTTAATTATAGCATTATGGTTGGGATTATTTCCTCATGTGTCATTACACAGGTCCAGTCAACAGCTACATGTAGCTATACCTGTTCTAAATAGATAGAATCAAAACTCTTAATCTCACTGTTACTACTACTAGTTTTCCTTAATCTAGTTACATTCGCAACATAAAATATTCCAATGGAGCCACCAAGAACGGTACACAACAGAGTAAAACAAGAACTGTGGGGGGACAGTAACGCTCGACTATTCCAAAAGTTGTCACAAGGGTGTTTCATTGAGTATAATAATGCTTACCTATATGAATACATAAAATTGTCCGAAAAGGTACAAACCCTTCAGTAGTTATGGAGATACCAGCTTACAAGCAAAATTTACCTAGAATTTCTAAGTCGAAAAAGGGGCATAATTATGTAAAAAAGCAAATCAGACTTATGGAACTTGTGTCAATCATCTAAGATAATCACAGACAACAAGAGTGTGAAGTTTCAATCCATTCCCTTCAGTAGCTATGGAGATACCAGCTTACACGCAAAAACTTAACCACGAATTTGTAAGTCAAAAAAGGGGCATAATTATGCAAAAAAGCAAATCAGTTATGTGACTTGTGCCATTCATCTTAGATAATCACAGAAAACAAGTGTGTGAAGTTTCAATCCATTCCCTTCAGTAGTTATGGAGATACCAGCTTACACACAAAAACTTAACCAAGAATTTCTAAGTCGAAAAAGGGGCATAATTATGTAAAAAAGCAAATCAGAGTTATGGGACTTGTGCCAATCATCTAAGATAATCACAGACAAAAAGAGTGTGAAGTTTCAATCCATTCCTTACAGTAGTTATGGAGATACCAGCTTACACGCAAAAACTTAACCAAGAATTTCTAAGTCGAAAAAGGGGCATAATTATGTAAAAAAGCAAATCAGTTATGTGACTTGTGCCATTCATCTTAGATAATCACAGAAAACAAGTGTGTGAAGTTTCAATCCATTCCCTTCAGTAGTTATGGAGATACCAGCTTACACACAAAAACTTAACCAAGAATTTCTAAGTCGAAAAAGGGGCATAATTATGTAAAAAAGCAAATCAGAGTTATGGGACTTGTGCCAATCATCTAAGATAATCACAGACAACAAGAGTGTGAAGTTTCAATCCATTCCCTTCAGTAGTTATGGAGATACCAGCTTACACGCAAAAACTTAACCAAGAATTTCTAAGTCGAAAAAGGGGCATAATTATGTAAAAAAGCAAATCAGAGTTATGGGACTTGTGCCAATCATCTTAGATAATCACAGAGAACAAGTGTGTGAAGTTTCAATCCATTCCCTTCAGTAGTTATGGAGATACCAGCTTACACGCAAAAACTTAACCAAGAATTTCTAAGTCGAAAAAGGGGCATAATTATGTAAAAAAGCAAATCAGAGTTATGGGACTTGTGCCAATCATCTAAGATAATCACAGACAACAAGAGTGTGAAGTTTCAATCCATTCCCTTCAGTAGTTATGGAGATACCAGCTTACACGCAAAAACTTAACCAAGAATTTCTAAGTCAAAAAAGGGGCATAATTATGCAAAAAAGCAAATCAGAGTTATGGGACTTGTGCCAATCATCTAAGATAATCACAGACAACAAGTGTGTGAAGTTTCAATCCATTCCCTTCAGTAGTTATGGAGATACCAGCTTACACGCAAAAACTTAACCAAGAATTTCTAAGTCGAAAAAGGGGCATAATTATGTAAAAAAGCAAATCAGAGTTATGGGACTTGTGCCAATCATCTTAGATAATCACAGAAAACAAGTGTGTGAAGTTTCAATCCATTCCCTTCAGTAGTTATGGAGATACCAGCTTACACACAAAAACTTAACCAAGAATTTCTAAGTCGAAAAAGGGGCATAATTATTAAAAAAAGCAAATCAGAGTTATGGGACTTGTGCCAATCATCTAAGATAATCACAGACAACAAGAGTGTGAAGTTTCAATCCATTCCCTTCAGTAGTTATGGAGATACCAGCTTAGACGCAAAAACTTTACCAAGAATTTCTAAGTCGAAAAAGGGGCATAATTATGTAAAAAAGCAAATCAGAGTTATGGGACTTGTGCCAATCATCTAAGATAATCACAGACAACAAGAGTGTGAAGTTTCAATCCATTCCTTACAGTAGTTATGGAGATACCAGCTTACACGCAAAAACTTAACCAAGAATTTCTAAGTCGAAAAAGGGGCATAATTATGTAAAAAAGCAAATCAGAGTTATGGGACTTTTACCATTCATCTTAGATAATCACAGAAAACAAGTGTGTGAAGTTTCAATCCATTCCCTTCAGTAGTTATGGAGATACCAGCTTACACGCAAAAACTTAACCAAGAATTTCTAAGTCGAAAAAGGGGCATAATTATTTAAAAAAGCAAATCAGAGTTATGGGACTTGTGCCAATCATCTAAGATAATCACAGACAACAAGAGTGTGAAGTTTCAATCCATTCCCTTCAGTAGTTATGGAGATACCAGCTTACATGCAAAATCTTAACCACAGGGACGCGGACGCCGACAAATGGGTGACTGCATTAGCTCGATTATTCTGTGAATACTCGAGCTAAAAATTAATACAAGTATTAGTTACCTATTCTTCTTAAAAGGAGACAAGCCTGCCATTTTGTCACAAAGCTGGTCACTATTAGATTTTTGAGTAAAGAACTCTTCAATCTCCATTTCTACTGTTGGAATGCTTGATCCATTAGTTGCTTGGTTACATGGGGTCAAATAGTGATCAATATCTATGTCATCATCAACTGCTCTCAAATCTTCTTTTTTCCCACATTTTGTTTCTAATACTTCAACTCCAAGTTTTGAAAAATAGTCATCATCATCTTTAGTCCAATCAGAAGAAATGTCGGATTCCTTGTAGTCTTTGACATTTGCCACGCCATTTGAATGACCATGTTTTACATTAGCCCTTGTTGTCCCTTTATTAAGAGGTTTTGTTTTTGTAAAATCTGCAACAGTTTTCTTTGTTTTGGATTGAAGTACTATAGCTTTTGAGGTTTTTGATGGTTTAATTAAACTGGGAGACTTTAGTTCTTGTAGAATATCATCAAGGGTGTCATCTTGTGTTACAGAAATGTCACCTTCATATTTCACGTCATCTTCTGAAGAATAAATATACCACAATTTTAAAACAGCATTTTGTAAAGCTGATTTCATGAACAGAGTCATTAATGGTAACCCTGTTAGAGTCATACTATGGCTATATATGGAATCTATGGCAATAAATGGAGGGGAAAAAACCTGACAACATTAATAATTTCCAAAAAATTATATCATCTTAAATCTGCAAAAACTAAAATAATAATAACAAGAGGGCCACGATGGCCCTGAGGTCGCTCACCTGTAAAAAGGCACCAGGAGCAGGGCCAGTTTAAACCCCAGGGCTTTAATTTGAACAAACTTGGAAGACACCCATTAGAAGATGTTTCAAGATGTTAAGTTTTTACTACACACATATAATGAAAAACAACAATCTACCCCCTCCTTCCCCCCCCCCCCCTTGGCAGGGCCAATTTTAACCCAAGGGCTTTTATTTGAACAAACTTGGTAGATACCCATAAGAAAATGTTTCATGCTCTAGCTCATTGGGTTTTTTAAAAAGAAGATTTTTTAAAGTTTTTACTATACACATATAGTTAAAACCAATGACACCCCTGGGGCGGGGCCAATTTTGACCCCAGGGCTTTTATTTGAACAAACTTTGTAGACAATTACTAGAAAATGTTTCATGCTTAATATCTAAACTCTAGCTCTTTGGGTTTTTTAGAAGAAGATTTTTTAAGTTTTTACTATATGCATATAGGGAAAATCAATGACCCCCTGGGGCGGGGCCAATTTTGACCCTAGGGCTTTTATTTGAACAAACTTTGTAGACACTCATTAGAAGATGTTTCATGCTTAATATCTAAACTCTAGCTATTTGGGTTTTTTAAAAGAAGATTTTTTAAGTTTTTACTATAATTTTATGCATATAGGAAAAAACAAAGACCCCCTGGGGCGGGGCCAATTTTGATCCCTGGGCTTTTATTTGAACAAACTTGGTAGACACTCACTAGAAGATGTTTCATGCTTAATATCTAAACTCTAGCTATTTGGGTTTTTTCAAAGAAGATTTTTTAAGTTTTTACTAAATGCATATAGGGAAAATCAATGACCCCCTGGGGTGGGGCCAATTTTGACCCCAGGGCTTTTATTTGAACAAACTTGGTAGACACTCATAAGAAGATGTTTCATGCTAAATATCTTAGCTCTAGCTCTTTGGGTTCTTTAAAAGTAGATTTTTTAAGTTTTTACTATATGCATATAGGGAAAATCAAAGACCCCCTGGGGCAAGGCCAATTTTGACCCCTGGGCTTTTATTTGAACGAACTTGGTAGACACTCACTAGAAGATGTTTCATGCTTAATATCTAAACTCTAGCTATTTGGGTTTTTTCAAAAAAAAAGATTTTTTAAGTTTTTACTAAATGCATATAGGGAAAATCAATGACCCCCTGGGGTGGGGCCAATTTTGACCCCAGGGCTTTTATTTGAACAAACTTGGTAGACACTCATAAGAAGATGTTTCATGCCAAATATCTAAGCTCTAGCTCTTGGGGTTTTTTAAGAGAAGATATTTAAAGTTTTTTCTTTCGGTTGCCATGGCAACCAGAGTTCTGCATGGAATTTAATTCTTTGAACAACTTTTAAAGGTGACCACCAAAGGAACATTCCTGTGAAGTTTGGATGAAATTGGCTTAGTGGTTTATGAGGAGATGTCATTTAAAGTAAAAGTTTACGCACGGACGGACGGACGAAAAGCGATCACAAAAGCTCACCCTGTCACTTTGTGACAGGTGAGCTAATAAAATATACAACAAAAGCTTTTCTTTTTCTTTCATTATCCATCTATTGTTTAATACCAAAAGTTATATTTATATATACAGAATTTTATTTTACACTGTAGTATGATTGTGTAGTAAGCGACACACACTCTTGAATCCACTCCTGGAACCAACCAGTACTGAGCAGTTAGGGTAAAGTTTCCTGCTCAAAGAAGGACATGCTCCTAACAGGGTTTGAACCTACACATAAATAATCTTAGATGTTAACTACATGTACTTGGCCATGCAGCTGCTAATTAAAATTTAAAATGTCTGGTTGAGATTCAACCAATACAAACCTGATACTCCAGTTAACTGGTATTTCATCAGTTTCTCACTTTTTCTCCTCTTCTCCTCCTTTTCTACCCTTCTCTTCTCTAAAGCTTCTTTCTCTTTCTTCAGTTTCATCTGTCTTTCCTTCAACTTCCTTCTTTCTAGCCTCATTTGTTCTTCTTTACTTTTTTCTATAATCTGATCATCTAACATGGTTTTAGCACTTTTAAAATCTGTTTCATCTACGTTGAGTTGAGCTTTCTTCCCTTCTCCAGCTATTGGTTTATCAGTGACTGATTTGACTTCAAAATCAAGTTTACAAACAGAATTACCTAATGATGACTTCTCATTTACAGAATCTAAATTGCTTCCATTGTTTCCTAAGCCATCACTGAGTCGTTTTGAATCAGGTGAAGAACCAGATCTTGCCATTCTTTTAATTGAATTTCCATCAGAATAAATTTTTGTAGGAGTTTTTCCATCACAGACTGACCCATAATCAGCCATTTCAGAATTTGTATTTTCAACTGGTTCATTCTCTGAAACTAAAGGCTTTTTCTCATCTTGGTTAAACTGTACAGACACTGACAACAAACTTTTTCTAGCAAGACTAGCTTTCTTTTTCATAGCAAGTTTTTCTTGTCTGTGTTCTTTAGCTTTCTGTATGGGATTTGTACCCATCTGTCCTGCTGAGAGCAAAAAACTTCGTGCCAAAGGTCGTTTTGTTTTCACTACATCTTCTTTCTTATCTTGAGGCGTATCAGGAATGAGACCGAAGTCATTTGCTTCAGGAGAAACAATCATATTGTCAACACCTACTTTTTTAACACCAGGAGGTGTAAAACAAAACTGGGTTTCAGGGATGCATGTTTCTAAAGGATTTGTTCCCCTTGCCGATGATTTAACAACACTTGCCGTTTCATGACTCAGTGCTTTACTATCTTTTGCTTGAAGATTTAATGACTTTTCAAGATTTTTCTTTTCACATAGCACATTATGTTTAGGTGGATCAGCTTTTAATAATTTTAATTTTTCTGGCCGTATGTCAGAGGTGTCATCATTGATCACTATTGGTTCAGAGGACAGCTGTTTAGATGTACCCTTGTGGCAGCCATGTTCTGAGAATAGTCCCTTAGATACTGTTTTACCTGTGGGTTTTTGAAAGAAACTGGATATCGTCTTTTGACCATTTTCCTATTTAAAAGAAGCAAAGTAAAGAGCTAATATTTCATGTAAGAAATCTACCAATACTTTTTAGTGAAAAGATTTTAGTAATCATAAAATAGCCAGCTTTGCAATGAATGCATGTACTAGTTTACACAAATGTTTTAAGACTTGCAAAGTATTGAATTGTTTTTCCTTACACATGATCATTATTTTAAACTAGAACTTTGCAAGTCGGATGTGTCGCCTTGTGAACAATATAGTTTAGGAGAATTTATGGCAAGGACAAAAATGAAGAAAATAAAGAAGTGCAGAGTACCGGTTCTTGTGCACTGCACTTTTTCTAAATGAGATCTATCATCCTATGAAGTTTAAAGAACATAGCTTTTATACTTCAGGAGAAATGGCCTGGAAAAAAAATAAGTATGAAAATTAACAAAGGGCAATAACTCAAAAACTAAGAAATGCAGAGTACTGGTTCTTGTGCACTGCACTTCTTCTTAATGAGATCTATCATCCTATGAAGTTTCAAGTCCATAGCTTTAATACTTAAAGAGAAATGGCCTGGTCAAAAAGAAAGCATGTAAATTAACAAAGGGCAATAACTCTAAAACTAAGAAATGCAGAGTACCGGTTTTTGCGCACTGAATTTTTTCTAATGAGATCTATCATCCTATGAAGTTTCAAGTCCATAGCTTTTATACTTTAGGAGAAATGGCCCGGACAAAAATAAAGTATGAAAATTAACAAAGGGCAATAACTTAAAAATTAAGAAGTGCAGAGTACCCGTTCTACACTTCAAGTCATTATAACAAGCATACATACCAAGTTTGAAGTCAATCTGACTTATAATGACTGACTTATGCTTCCGAACAAGCTTAAGGGGATGTGGACGACGCCGACACAGACGACGGCAACGCCAACAAAAGTAACCCCTATATGTGGCCTTTTACAAGGTGACACAAAAAGCTTTGTCATATATCAGAAAGTACAAAATTTGTTTGAACTGACACAAATTTAACCCTTAATATATCTTTGTTTGTTTCATTTTACGCCTTTTCCCAACAGTATTTCAGTCATATAGGCGGGTAGTTTCCTAACCATCGTTCCTGGAAAGTTACACCAGTACTAGACTACCTTCCTCCACCCTAAACTACCATAGCATCTCCCGGAACCGAACCCACGCCAGAGAGGAAACTGGATTAGAAGTCATCGGCTCTAACCCCTCAACCACGGAGGCGGATGGCCTCACCCTACTTTGACTTTGGTGCTTTTCGTTTTTATTTGAAAAAAATTCGATATCAACAGCAGGGGGGGGTTGGGGGGGGGGGAGGCTCAGCTTAATGGTGGCATAGTCAAGTCATAATAATACAATTGTCAGTGCTATCATTCAAAGTTTGTTTTGCTGGATAGTAAGTCACACTGGCACTGTAAAGATCATGTGGCAACTGGTCAGGGAGGACCTCAAGTGTCCCTTTATGCATTATTTTAGGTACAAGATGGCACCGTAGTAAAACCACTGACTTTCCCTAAGTGTTAGCTGGAAATCTTTCTAACATGAAAGAATTCTAAGTCCCTTGCGAGATTCAAACCCAGTTTTGAGGGCCGAGTGGTTTAAAGTTACCTGCCTTAACCAATTATTTACCTTCACCACTAAGCCACAGAGCATTTACAGAATTAAAAGCAAATATTTTGGCCCTCTGTTATACTTCAAAGTTTTACCTTACTGGCGCTTGGAGGCTTTTTTGCTTTTCCCATGATTCTATCATGTTTCAGACATCATCTAAAAAATTCCATATACAATTAATTATATTTTGTTTAAAGCTTTTGTATATTGAATCATCTTTTTGTGATACAACTGAACAAAGATTTTTTCACTCAGTGAAAATATGCACGATATATAATATTTTTTACACAACAATAAATATCTGTGCATGATCACTGTTATTCACAGGGTCCTTATTATCTTTTTTAACACACAGTTATTCCGCGTGTGTCAAAGACCATCACTACCACCCTTCCCCTCTCACACCATCCACATGCTACAACCCTGTTAACTTAATTAGTGTTATTACAATGAAATATTATGTTTAAATTACAGAATGACTACCTTATTAATTAAAAAAAAATTTGATGACTATATGAATTTATATACTGGTTTCCTAGCAGTTTCAGGCTCCAAATCTTACCTTTTAACAAATAATCAAAGTTACCTGTGTAGGTTACTGGTACTTGTCCAGCATAACCATTTTTTCAATATTACATTTTTTACTTTACTTTTTAATTGGAATATAGGCCTGAAGGTAACACCATATCTCATGTTTATTCAAAATTTCATAGCAGTTCTAGGGACCTTTTTTATTCAATTTGAATATAAATTAGTATTAGTAAGAAATGTTAAGATGGTTTTATCAAAGAAAATGAACTTCTCAACCTTTTCCATGTTGTCTGCAAATATATTGTTTAAAAGTATTGATTTGCCTTCATGAATGGGGTTCCGCATGGCCATTCAAACTAGAATTCCCCAGGTGGTGATTATTCTTAAATGACGCATGTTCTCTTAGATAACTTTAAAACACAGACAAAACTTCAAAATAAGTGAGCCGCGTCACGACAAAACCAACATAGTGCGTTTGCGAGTAGCATGGATCCAGACCAGCCTGCACATCCGCACAGTCTGATCAGGATCCATGCTGTTCACTTACCAACCCTATTACAAGTCGAACAGCATGGATCCTGATCAGACTGCGCGGATGCGCAGGCTGGTCTGGATCCATGCTGGTCGCAAACCCATTATGTTGGTTTTGTCGTGACGCGGCTCAAATTATTTCTACTCTCAGATTACAGGGGGCTAATCATTTAAATTTTTGTAAGAACAAACATCAATCAAGATCCTTTTTACGTTGTCCATGTGTCATTCTAAGTGATAAGACAAATGTACAAATGTAAGTAAATGTAAAACAAATAAGTAAATGTAAAACAAATTATGAGCCTATAGACTAGTATGTATAGTGACTACCCCTCTCAAAACACCGCGCGCTTTCACTTCGATTGAGCAGTTTCCGGTTTCATTTTTGTAAAAATAACAATCGGATTATCTCGGCTATTATCAATAATAACTGACGAAAGGGCCGAGAAGATGAGATTGTGTCCAAGCCTCTGCAATATACTGACGTGAAAAAATGGAAAATTCTAAAATAATTGTTGAAGGCGAAGCATCTGAATCGGATGAAGATGAGCTTTCTGGTCCAAATGAATCATTAGATCGTGAGGTATAGACTGTGTCTGTTTATTTTCAGCTACAGCAAATTATATCCAAATCTACCCCGCCCCTTCAGTTCTATGCATAACAAAAAAAATCAAAGTGCTGCAGCACTGAATGCGACGGACATGCAACTGGGGAGACATTTTGGGTTTTTTTAGAAAAAAAAATAAAACACAAAATATATAACAGAGAAAATTTGTTCCATACAAGGAGCAATATATTTTGTGTCCCAATCTGATATAATCCAGATTTTCTACTTTCAAGCAGAATGAAATATATGCCTAAAACCCTGGTCAAACTTGTAAATCAGTGTCATTATCGATTTATTCCAAGAAATGATATGTAAATGGAAAAAAAACTTTCAACGACATATTTCTAAAATAAAACCATGCAAATAGACTTCAAGCATAATACAATATACCACGGATAAATCCGTGATTATACATGTGAGAATGTTATTTAGAATTGCTTCGTGTTTTAACATAGTGGGCATATAGACAATAAAAATAAGTCATTTGTATTTTTATTTCTTTTGGATATGTACGTCTCATTAAAAATATTTTTTGGTTAAAATCATCAGCAATTAATAGTCACCGTATTTTTTAGATTTTTTTTATTTGCAAGGGCCAGAGCACATCGTTTTTATTTTAATCTAAATGTCACAATTTTTTTAAAAGCACTATAGTGTTTAGTTGTCCTTTTCATTTTTCACATTAAATTACATTTTCAACTTGTTTGCTTCTTACAATTGTATAGAATATCTAAAAGTATTGCATGTGAACAAAGTAAGTATCCGCTGGTTTATAACATGTATAATGTGTACTCCCTACTGTCCGAAAATCAGCACAGGTAAAGCAGAATCTATTTTTAGAATAGCGAAGGTTAACTCATATCGTGACCTAGAAAATGTATCTAATTTATTAATAACTGCTGAATATTCAGCTAAACGTCACGAAAATAGCTCTTCTTTTATTAATGCGCGAGTTATTCTAGAGTCCAAAAAACTTTTGATTTGTTAATAATAATGTTTTGTATAATGTAGAAATATTTATTTCCTACTAATAATTTCTTGGAACTCAGAGCTTACACCTTTATTATAGTATAATTTGCTGTCCTACTTTTTCGACAGCGGTAAATCGTTTCGGCAGTAATTTGCATAATTGCGCAATAATACTACTCGACTACAACGTTTTTATCAATCATATACGTCCATATTTTAACTTGGATAACTTAATTTGAAATTGAAAAGGCTAAATATGGAAGATTTTAAGATATCCCGACATAGTATGGGAGTTTTAAAGGATCAAATTCATGTACTTTTTCTTGGGCTGTTAATCGGTTGAGGACACTTTGCGCGAGTGTAGCAGACGAAATCCCATGTAGATGACTTAGCTCTGAACGCGCCTGAGGGCGCGTCCGTCGCAAAAAAAAAGATTAAAAATTCTGGAAATTCCTACTTTGGCTTACAGAAGATTTAGAGGTGATATCATACAAGTATGGAAATTATTAAACGGGAAGGAAGATATAGATTATAAATGTATTTTTTTAAAAAGCACAACTTGATAATCATCACATCAAAGGAAATTCTATGAATCATGTAAAAACCTTTCTTCTCATTAAGAGTACTGGTTGGAGACCATCAAAACTGGACAACCATCAAACCCGGGTGGCACCGAAAATGCTTAACTTAGTGTTTTTTCTTTGTTCAGTGGTTTTCAATCTATCAGTCACTTTATTATTAACATGCATGTTTCTTCTATTAATTAAATAGAAGAGCAAAAATAAAAATTCTAAAAACATCATCATGATGCGGCGGCACGAAATACCCAAATGCACCCAAATATACCCAAATATAGCAATATTTATTTTTGTTCGTATAAAATATAGATTATAATGAGAAATAAATAAATATTTATTAAATATGACTTAGCTATTTTGACTAATGACTTAGCCTGCTATAATTTTCATTCATTCCGTTGAAATGGACAGTTACGATGTTGTAAGGAAATAAAGTTGTGACATTTGCTTATCTACAGTACTATATAGGTTCTTTATGAATGTACTTGCAATTTTAAATCAAGATATGATATTTGTTGTCTACACTTACATTTTTAAGGTGTAATTTTGTTGAAATTTCATATCATATACAAGTGTCCATGTTATTTAAAAAAAATAGCTTTAATGGTGTACATATAGACTGTATTTTGGTTCAAAACACAATGATAGGGAAATGTATATTTGGGTATGGTTGATTATACATGTATCTTAGTGAAAATGTATATTGTATTCATGATAAAAACAGCACTTTTTGGGGTATATTTGGGCAATATTTGGGTATATTTGGGTATTTCGTGCTGCCCATCATGATGTTATCTAGAAATCTTTATTCTTGTAAAAAAAGATAAAAACATTTAAGAAAATAATGCTTTAACCCATTACGCGAGATATACGCCTTTTAACGCTTCCCCCCCCCCCCCTTGTTGGTGTCTCAGGTGGTGAAAAAATGCCTTATTTAGGCCCCCAACACTTGTTTTTGTTTGAGAAATGCTGTTCTAAAAAAGTGACCACTTTTTCGACTCGGCCCCCCAACCAAAAGATACATCAGGGGGTTGCCAGAAGGGGGATGTGCCCCCTTCTGTATAGGGGTTTGAAGGGGGCTGAGTCCCCCTCATTGCCAAGAAAATTTTGGACTTGTGAGAGGCTAAAATGACCCCAGATCGATCATAAGGTAACGTGTAACCAACGCTGAAAAGCATTTGACTCTATCTCAATCCATTGAGAAGTTGCAGCACTTTGAAATCAATTTTGATGGAAAAAATCAACGCAAAAAAGTGATTTTTGGCAATTTTGAGATGTCCCCTCATTGCCATGGTAACAGGAAATTTAAGCCTGAGCATGTTATTGCAAAGGCAATGGTCCAGTCAACACTTGTGCCAAGTTTGATTAGTATTGAAGCAGTTTTTATAGTTTTATAGCAATTTGAACTTGTAATGGGAGACTTTTCAATGAAAATAGCCATTTTTCACAAAATGCTCATAAAGTAATGGGTCAAAAGCCTTGATCTGTTGAAAACATAGAATGCTTGTTAAGACTATTTGCCGACATACGGCGCTAAATTAAATTAATTAATTATTAAATATTTGTAAATAACATTGTGAAATATTATAAAATCTTTACATGATACAATTAAATAACATTTTTGCTCTGTAAAATTGATCTCCGTTTTGTCATTGATTGAACTATGCATAAATTTAAAAAAGCTTTTGAAACTCGGACCTATTTTCGAATAAGAGCAGTAGATTTTTACATTAACGCCTGGAAAGAAAACTTCCTCACTTCAAACCAAATCTATAAAATTTATACTTTTCAAAGTAAAAACTGATGATATAATGTATCCATGATTAATTTTCAGTAATTTTTTAATCGATTTAACAAAACATTATCTTATGCTTGGATTTTTAGCAGGGATGTACTAGTAGATCACGGTAGGTAAATAACCTAATTATGTGTATCAGCCAAGACATCTTTTTTCGTACAATTGGCCCGACTCCAGACCATTCTATTTGAAAGACCCTGATATAGATTAGTCGGTTTTCAGTTTCATGAATCATGACATCATGGAGCTAAATATTGTATATATATCAGTGATGACATAAGTAATATGAAACTGAAAAATATGTTAATCACTGTTTTTATTTTAAGGCAGTGGGTAACTGTACAGGCCCATATTGCTAGCCAAAAGTTCTAGCCCAAAGTTAATAAAGGTCAAAAGAAACATGTACAAGTTTATAGCTGACTACATTATCACCACATACATGTGAACTTTTTTCAATGATCAAGTGGGAGATTTTTCTTAAAAAAATTGTAAAAATACCCCTTTAATATTTTAGTGGGAGTCTCCTGCTAAAAGTGGGAGAGTTCACATGTATGTCACCGGTGGTTCAAGCAGCAAAATCGTGTCCGGCTCATAACTTCATTATTTGAAGTCCGATTTTACAACAAATTCACAGAAATGATCACCATATTGAGACGTGTCGCGTGCCAGTCGGTAGTTAGATCCCATTGAGTAGAGGTGCAGTGCAAAGAACAGTAACTCTGCCTTGCCTAAGTTTGGAATTATCACACTTTGAACTTTGTCTGGGACATAACTCTGAAACTACAAAAGATATACTTTTCTGTGTCCAAAACCTTGTCGGGGAGCATTACCCTGTTCAACCGGCTCTTGTTTTTAAAATTCTGTATAAAAGTTTTCAGTATATAACTGTTTTATATCAGAATGACATCTTGTTAAGTTTCTGTAACTCAATTAGTTAAATTATTATTGCTGGAAGTTTCAGTTATGGGTTTATATAATGCAGTAAATAAACATGATACAGGTGATATCATGTGGAGCTTAAAGTGTACTAAAATGTCTAAATTAAAGATTTACTTGTAAGCTCATTTGAATTTGATACCAGTTATTCATAAAAATGCATTGTAACTAATTTTTACATGTACCTTTTTTCTTGAGATCCATTTTATCATAATAATGTAAATTGTAATAGTGGGAAAGAGAAGGCCATTGTAATGTAAAGAAATAATAGTATTTATATTAAATTTCACTTAAAATAGGCTGTTTAATGTGTTTCTGAATTTCCCCTTTTCTGCCTCCATGGTACAATTTTCCCCTCTCAACGGGCCATGTCATCATTCCCCTTAATGTGAAAAAAAACCCCACTGGAGTCTGATACTGTACCCCATACACAATGATTGTTCCTCCACTTATCTGCTGATATACAAATTATTTATATATGTGGTGTTGTTTAATATTATATAATTGTAATTTTAGACCACAGCCACTGCTGGCACAAGTAGATTGACTGAAGAAATCAGTCAAAATGATGGTGACAAGACAGGAAACACAAGTAGCATAGTGTCTCACAAGGATGGCGAAGTATCAGTTAACACTGGTGTCATAGTGTCTGGCGAGGCATCAGAAAGTGATGAAGAATTTGAAATTGTAACAAGTGAAGGCCAAATCTTACCACTCAATGGTTTGTGTAAATTGTGTTTTATTTTAGTTACATAAAAGCTGTGCATTCTTTATCCTGCAAGAGAAGTGATAATTAAAATTTCATAATATTATCTGGCTCAATATATGTCTTCAGATTTATTAAAACTTCTACATTGTCAAAGTTGATGTTAAAAGTTTCATTTAAAGGTAATTAAAACATGTTACTTTCTGGGAAGGTAAGTAACTTAGTATTTCAGAGGATATTCCTACAATATACTCCTTCATGTACTCGTTGTCTTTAGTTTATAATGCCTGAAGATTTAGGCACTTTTAGTTTCCTTCCACCAATTTATTAACCCTTTCCCCCATGAGCATATTGTGAAAAATGGCCGTTTTCACTGAAAAGCCTCCTGTTACAAGTTCAAACTGCTATGAAACTATGAAAAATGCTTCAATACTAATCAAACTTGGCACAAATGTTGACTGGACCATTGCCTTTGTAACGACATGCTCAGTCTTAAATTTCCTGTTACCATGGCAACGAGGGGACATCTCAAAATTGCCAAAAATCACTATTTTGCCTCGATTTTTTCCATCAAAATTTATTTCAAAGTGCTGCAACTTCTCAAGGGATTGAGACAGAGTCAAAGGCTTTTCAGCGTTGGTTACACGTTACCTTATGATCGACCTGGGGTCATTTTTAGCCTCTCACAAATCCAAAATTTTCTTGGCGGTGAGGGGGACTACCGCTCCCCTTCAACCCCCCTCCCCCCCCAAACAGAAGGGGGCACATCCCCAACTGGCAAACCCCTGATGTATCTTTTGGATGGGGGGCGGCGAAAAAGTGGTCACTTTTTTTACACAACATTTCTCAAACGAAAACATGTGTTTGAAAACATTTGTTTCACTTTTTTTTCAGGCCTAAAAAAGGGGGGGAGGGGTCGAAAGTGTGTTGCTTCGCGTATATATGAGGTAAAGGGTTAAGTAAATTTCCATGGTGTGGTTTTACACAATAGAAAATTTTTTGAGTAAATTACAAATCCAACAAAATGATTGAATTTTAGTATTTATATAATTATGATGTAATATACCTGTATAATTTTATAATGGAAAATAAAGCAAATTGATATTTTTCTACAGTGAATACATCAGAGAAAGGGGACACGACTGACTTAACATCACCACAATCACCATCATTACCTTCACAGCAGAAGGAGGTAAAACCGAAATATAATACGTAAGTATATAGCTGGTATGTTCTAAATAGCTATACATTGTAGTTACAATTTTCCAGCAATTTTATGTAATATTATCAATTCAACCTATTTTTTAATTTGTGCCTAGATTTTGCTAAATATGTATATTTTTTCTTCACAAAGAAAAATATTTTCTGTTAAATATATAGAGGATATTCAAGTTTTTCTATAAATACATGATTTATTTTCATCGAGTGGTATGAAAATAAATATTTCATGAGTGGCGGTAGCCACGAGTGAAATATGGTAATTTTCATGCCACAAGATGAAAATAAATCATGTAATTATAGAAAAAACTTGAATTTTCTGTTTATTATATACATTTTTCACTTTTTTGCGATAAAATTTGAAAGACTTTCCCTTAAATTTTGTGTACTGACAGTATTTAAAAGAAAGTAGTCCGGCAAGACACCAGTGAAAATACGGAAAATATGTTTCACTGCAGTGAAAAATAAATTTTTACAGTGAAAATACGGAAAATGAAAATACGCATTTTATTTCATCAATATTTCTCAATATTTCATTTATAAGTATATAATAAATAAATGTATAACCTTTTACCCAATGAGCATACATGTATTGCGAAAAATGGCCGTTTTCATTGAAAAGCCTCCTCTAACAAGTTCAAACTGCTATAAAACTATGAAAATGCTTCAATACTGATGAAACACAAATGTTGACTAGACACTTGTAACAGCATGCTCAATCGTAAATTTCCTGTTACCATAGCAACGGGGGGACGTCTCAAAATTGCCAAAAATCACTATTTTGCATTGTTTTTACCATCAAAACTGATTTCAAAGTGCTGCAACTTTTCAATGAATTGAGATAGAGTAAAAGGCTTTTCAGCATCGGTTTCACGTTACCCCCCTTCATACCCCCCAAACAGTCACTTTTTTTAACAACATTTCTCAAAATGAAAAACAGTGTTTGGGGCCCAAATAGGGCATTTTTTCACTGTTTGAGCTCTCAAAAAAGGGGGGACGAAAAGCCGTCAAAACACGTCTATATGAGGGAAAAGGTTAAAGTACTTTCTTTATGACATTATCTTGTTATTTCTTTTCATTGAAAAACTAAAATGAATTTATCAGATTGCAAGTTAGCCTTTAATTGTGCCATATTTATTATTTTCATGTTTACTTTTCTTTTTATTTCAGACTTCTGAATAGAAAATTAAGTAAGTAATAAGATAATAATCGATTTCAAGACAGTTGTTCAATATAAAACTAAAATTCTTTATTATAAGGAATTAAATTTTGTAATATATATATATATATATATATATATATATATATATATATATATATATATATATATATATATATATATATATATATATTATATATATATATATAATATTATTTGTAAATATTGTATAAACTTTTGAAATTGGTTAATTTCACCAAAATATTTAAGTTCAGTACACATTCCACTTTTACTGTATGCCTGTCTGTCAAATTTGTCTTTAATCTTACATTCTGCTGCCACTAAGCCCATAATGAAGAAATAAGGCATTGATATTTTTGCATATAGACATATCAGATATTTGTGGATAGTAGACCTCTACCAAGATTGTTTGCATTAACCCATTCTGCTGACTATTTGATAAATGATAGGTCTACCCTACAAACCTTTCCATTGCTGTGTCAATGTTTTCTTTGTCTTAACACTTGGGTAAGGTTTTGCCTGTATTTTCCCATCTCACTGTAAACTGTAGTTAGTCTGTTGAAATTTCACACATGTCTAGGGGATGGGGGACATAATAGCTTGGTTGTGTCCAAGTCCCATAACTCTAGCATGGATTTCAATTGAATTGTATCCCTATGTGAAATTAGAAAATTCCTGGTAAATATTTTCATGTCAGTTCCATCTCCAGAACCAGTGAAAGAATTATGTTTAAATTTTACACACATAGCTTACATTCAAGATAATCAGTAAAGATCACCTTTGAAAAAAACAACTTTAGCAACAATTTTCTCTGGATTTTTCCTCTGAAAAAAAAGAAACAAAAACAAAATAACCTTTGTTTTACTATCATGCAGTGAGAATAGTAAACTGTGTCTTGTAGCTTATTTTCTATATACATGTATATAGAAAAGTCACATGATCTGAAACAACTTTTTAGAAACATTCTTAAGCTTTCTTGTGATTTTGCTATAACTGGTGTATCTCTGTAACAGTATAATATTGTGGTTACAGGAGAGAGAAATATAGCTTTAAGAAGGCATATTGTAGACACAATACATCAAAGTTATACACAGGCTGCCACTGGTTTACATAATCTGACAATTCAGCTTCAGAAGTCACATATAGCTATCCAAGTAAGTATTTGTATTATGAAAAATAGAGATCATATCCCATAACTTTATTTCACATTGTTCCCATTTATAACTTTATTAACCTTAGTTACACATCATTCTCTTCTTTAAAGTTTTTACTTTATTACAAATCCATCTCTTCTTTGACGGTATTACATATGCAACTAATTACATCATTTTACTTAATTACCCCTCACATCTATGTAGTTATTATAGGGAGAAATCACCAGATTTTTAATCCAGGGGTTGCTGGTTTGATCCAGGTGAGGAAAATTTGATCTGGGACATTAAGTCATTTGTTCCCGACATGATTCAGATTTTGTTTGGGATAAGTAGTCAGTCACTTCTAAAGAAAATCGTTATAACAGGTTAGTTATCCAGGAAAGGTTGTTACGTAGACTGACCAAACATGTGTAAAAATCAGTGTTAATACCAAACAAACAAAACATCAAATTTTTATTTATTATTATTAACAGGACGTGTCACACCATATGAGGAATACAACAAATGATTTGTTCCAGTTAGAGGACAAGGTTGATATTGTTAGGAGCTGCAATATTTTACCAAACATAACATTGCCAGTGAAGCCTGTTGTTCCTGCAACTGTTCAGTCATAGAGGAAGACATAGTGATGTTTATGCAGTTCTGTGATAATTATTTTGTGTACTCTAATCTGATATAATTTTTTTGTGTACTCTAATCTAATATATCATCAACAAGAACATTATATAATATTTGAAGTTGATCTTAGTTAATTGAGAAATCTATTGATGCTTTAACTTTATGTATATAAACAGTACTCTGTAAGCCCCCATAAGTTGAATGCAAGCTACTTTAGGACGTACTCCTGGCTTTGTTTTTGTCAAACATTGTTTAATAGAAATATTCTAAAATCTCACAGGAGTGCATTACCACTAGCTTCACTCAAATCTAAACTTGATACATTGTACTTATTTCTCATAAAAATTGACGAACTGCTTGTTGTAACTAAATCTACCCATACAACCAGTGTACAATACATCAATGCCTTATGATCATGGTTTTCACTGTTTGATATTTAATCAGTACATATTTTTAACCAGGTTTTCCGAAGGAAAAAACTGGTTATTAGATTGAGGTATGTCGGCGGGCGGACGGGCGGGGGGCGGGCGGGCGGGCGTAAACAATTTCTTCTGTGCGCAACTCCTTCTACATTTCTCAACGGATTTTGACCAAACTTTCACAGAAGCATTGTCATCAAGTGCCCTGGCGCATATTGTCGGGGTTTTGCGATTGGATAATATTTGACCTAATTATGGCCCTTTGTTTTTTTTCCTTATATAGAATATAGTGTGAACAATTTCTTCTTTGCGCAACTCCTCCTACATTTCTCAATGGATTTTGACCAAACTTTCACAGAAGCTTTGTCATCAAGTGCCCTGGCGCATATTGTCGGGGTTTTGCGATTGGATAATATTTGACCTAATTATGGCCCTTTGTTTTTTTTCCTTATAAAGAATATATAGTGAACAATTTCTTCTGTGCGCAACTCCTCCTACATTTCTCCACGGATTTTGACCAAACTTTCACAGAACCTTTGTCACCAATTGCCCTGGGGCATATTGTCGGGGTTTTGTGATTGGATAATATTTGACCTAATTATTGCCCTTTGTTTTTTTTTCCTTATATAATAGAATATAGATAGTGAACAATTTCTTCTGTGCTGAACTCCCTCTACAATTCTCAACGGATTTTTGTTCAAACTTTCACAGAAGCTTTGTCATCAAGTGCCCTGGCGCATATTGTCAGGGTTTTGTGATTGGATAATATTTGACCTAATTATGGCCCTTTGTTTTTTTTCCTTATACAGAATATATAGTGAACAATTTCTATCCTGCGCAACTTCTCCTACATTTCTCAACATATTTTGACCAAACTTTCACAGAAGCTTTGTTATCAAGTGCCTTGGCGCATATTGTCGGGGTTCTGTGATTGGATAATATTTGACCTAATTATGGCCCTTTGATTTTTTTTCCTTATACAGAATTATCAATATATAGTGAACAAATTCTTCTGTGCTGACTCGTCCTACATTTTTCAACGGATTTTGTTCAAACTTTTACAGAAGCTTTGTCATCAAGTGCCCTGGCACATTTTGTCGGAGTTTTGTGATTGGATAATTTTTGACCTAATAATGGCCCTTTGTTTTTTTTCCTTATACAGAATATATAGTGAACACTACTCATTGGCAATTCCTCCTACATTATTCATGTTTTACATTGCACATAGTTACATTGTTTGTTGCTTGTATTTGTGTTTCAAATACAACATATTTATCTACAATGGTGATAATTGAAAACCTGGTTTCATGGCATTGCCATGTTTCTTGTAATTAATTTTTTCCTAGAAAGATTTTCATGTGAATATGTATGTATTCATTAAATATAATAAATATAAGTTATATTAAGAAATAGGTAAAACATTCTTTTCATATTATTGATATATTAACCTAATTATGATAAAGCCACATTTATTTAATTATAAAAAAAAGTTAAGGGAGAAAAAAAATACAGTGGTCGCGCTTGAGAGTCTGCAGTTTTAATAATAATTATCTTAGCTTTGTCATTAATAGTTTTTCTGTGGCGGCTAATTTTTTTTTGAGATGCTCTTGGTAATTGTTGTTCATTAACCAATATGCAACTGCAATAACTGCCAGTGTCTGAATAGATTTTTCTACACCAGTCTTTTACTAAAGCAGTGTCAATATCAAGGTTTCTATTGACATCACCCTTGTGAAAATTTTCTAAAATTGATGAATGTTTTTTGGAGGATTAAAAGATGGACAAGTGTGTTTATTAGTGTTAAGGGTTAAAGAGTGGGTAATATATTTAGATTTAAAGGGATACTCAGGCAAATTAATGACAAAATTTTTTTTTAAAAATTAAAAATTATCTTATGTACTCAAATGATGCTAAAATGACATTTTTAAAGTCTCAGCATGAATTTCTGTATAAATTTTATATAATTTGGGTTTGACCTGTAAATATATATATTAAACAAAGTTTTAAACAAGTCATGTAACTTGAACAAACCTTTGAAGTTAAAATATCAGATATTGTATGATTGAAACAAGTCTTAAGTCATTCATTTAAAATGTTCTTTAACGTTTCCAGAATTCACTGTGACAACTATTGTTAAATCTAAACGTACTAACCTGACCCACGTGGGTCACATTAGGAAACAACCATTTTGTCCTTATAAGGAGAAAAGTTTTGTTCCTGTGACTGCCTAGTGTATTTATTTTGAGGACATTCACAGAGTAATGAATGAAAAATGCAAAAAATCCCTTTAAACACAAACCAATTTCTGTCATCTTGAAAAATTATTTTAAGACACATAATTTCATTTTACTGTCAAATTTTTGTGTAAAGTTTCCTTAAAATGAGTAAATTGATTTTTTATTTTCTCACATTACAGAAAGAGTTATAGAAAAAAAAAAGAAAATATGTTGCATATAATGTATGTGTAATGTATTTATTATTTTCTGGAAATTATTATTGTATGAAAAGTCTAGAATTTCCAGCACTATTTTATTGATATTTCAGTTGATACATTTGTTATAAAGAATATTTGATATACATATGTTTAAATCCTGTTACCTATTTTTACTTTTTCTGATATCAAAAGAACATTGTCACTGGACATAAAAATTGCAAAATATTTTGTTATTAATAAACACCAATTTCCTCATAAAGTCCTCTCATTGTGTATGTATGTTTTGCTTCATGAGCTTTGATATGGGACTTTGGCAGTGACCAAGATGACATGCTATACAGAAGAAAAATTTATTGTTTTCCAGTAGCTAGTTTGGTTAGGGTAATATTTTATTGATTTTACAAGGCTATGAGCATGTTGAATGTCATATTCCTGCTAATTTGCAATATAACGGCATAGTAGCTGGTCTTGAAATGCTGATGTATTTCTGGATGATTTTGTAAAATAAGAAAAAATACAAAGATTTTTGATCGTTTTGTTTGTCACAATGTCTTTGGCAAACATTTTTGTATTTTATGTTATTTACCTACCATAAATACGTGTAAAGGCTTGGTAAACTGTTAAAAGACTAAGAAAGTTCTTGTGTTTATAAATTAATTTATGTGCAATATAAACTGTGTACACATTCCTTCATCTGTTACGGATTTGTGTTTTTTTTGTACCAATAATTTTTTATATCATAAAATGATTTCTGTAAAAAAAATAAAGTGACAAGGTTAGATTGATTTGTTTGTTCACTTTACAACAACTTAAAAAGTAAAAACCATTTTCAAATCTTTCAAAACTAAATGTGCTGGAATCAATGATCTGGAAGAAACAGAAAAATATAACAAAACTGAGATGAAGTAATGACAATTATGACAAAAAGATGAAAGTGAACAATTTTTTAAAATAATTAGTATTCACCATAATAAAAACATATTGATAGAGTTGAAGAGCTATGTTAAACATTTTTGTTTTGATAGTTATCATTTTAAATTATATATTCATTATGTATACCAATTATTCTTAGATTTTGATTAAAATATTAATACTACCTGTATATTTCTTTCATTTGTAAATGGTTAAAGGTGTCAATTTCTTATCTAGTGGAAAAGATGTCCTGACTTTGAACTGCCAAACAGTAATAATAGACCAGTGAGAGAAAATGCTGTCTCCAAGAACTATAACTCTTCCTTGTTTAATTTTTGATTATCAGGAGTATAACTTTTAAATTATTGGTGATACCTCATTGAATTTTCAGTTTAATAGAGATGAGTAAGAAGTGCAGTGTCAAAGAACCATGATTCTACATATTTGCGAAGTTTTATGTGCCCCCACTATAGAGGGCATTTAGATTTACCCTTGTCCCGTCTGTCTTTCCTTCATCTGCCCCGTCCTTTCTCTTTTTGTGTCGCACATAGCTCAAAAAAATATTTGACTTTTAGAGTCATGAAACCTTACTGGAATGTTGCAGGCAGCAGCATGTTGTAGTTGTGCACCTGGGTATTTTTGTGTGGATATATTTGTATTTTTTAGAGTTATTGCCCTTGAATTAGTAAAAATTTTTCCAATTTAACTTGTATTGCACGTAACTAAAAAAGATTTGACCTAGAGTCATGAAACGCTTACAGGAATGTTGCTCAGCAATGTGTAGTACTGCACCTGGGCATTTCGTGTGGATATTTTTAGTATTTTTAGAGTTATTGCCCTTGATTTTGTATCAATTTACAATAGAAAACTTGTGTCGCATGTAATTCAAAAAGTATTTGACCTGTAGGCCTGAAAGTTTACAAGAATGTTGGTCAGCATGTATACTTATGCACCTAGGGGTTTTCTTGTGGATTTATTCAGTATTTGCAGTATTTGCCCTTTACTAAATAAAAATTTGCAATTTTCAACTTGACACATGTAGCCAAAAAAAAAATTTTACCTAGAGACATAAGATTGACAAATCGGTGGAGTGTGGGGGCACCTTTTACCTATGGACACATTTCTAGTTTTTATAATAAATCCCTCTGTAAAAATAAATAATGCTTGTCTGGGGAATAATTTTAAAAGTATAGAAGGAAGAACTTTACACAGTGATAGAGAGGCAGTGGAGTGTACCAAAACCATTACTCTACCTTAATTTGTTAGTTATATTATCTCCCTTTATAATACTTAAAAATTTTAGACAATGTTTGTCTTGAGTATAAGTTCTAAACTTATTGAAACCTGACACAGTTGAAGAGACTGGTAAAGTGGTAGTGTAATGTCAAGAACCTACAAATATCTCCCTAATGATACAATATAATGCTTGTCCCACTGTCAGTTTTTAAGGGGAAGACTGAAAGTTTCCTTATGAAAAATTTTGGCCCAGTAGGGCTCTTAACAACAACCAGTTCTAATTACAATAAACCATCTTTGATGTTGATAGTAATTTGCATTGAAATATGTTGGCTGATCAAATTCAGATTGTACAGTTTAATGACAGCTCTTTGAGTCGCTTATCCAAACCACTGCCAGGAACATGAACAAACGATTTGATACAGTTGATTAACTATTGTCCTAAGTATTTTCCATAGAGCTATGATAGTAAGCTTTCCCCAATAAGCGCTTTGCGGACAACAAAACATGAGTTTGCATATGAAGAAGACATTCAGCCCTATACGGCTTGTATAGATACATAAATGAAAATTTTGATGTTTCTCTTCTGTGGAATTGATCCACAGTCTAATGATATCTCGTTATTAGTTTACAATTAAGAGCCAGTGCCTAATGTGGAAAATGTTGCGTAATGTTTTCACTCTAACATTGCATCAGATGCATGACACCTCCAAAATGTTGGGAGATAACTTGTGTTGTGGAAAAAGAGTTTGTGCTCAAAATTAAAACTATTTATAGTTCTTTACACACTGCGCGCTGCTAATTATGCAGTATATTTGTATATAATCACAAAACCTGTGATTCCTACCCAGCTAAGAATACAATAACATTGATAGCTATATCTAGTATGGGTTTTAACCAGCCAGTATATTCATACCTTTAATTTACCCAGCCAAATATATTATATCAGACAGCAAACACCTGTGCTTGCTACCCAGCCAGTATATTTATATCAGACAGCAAAATACCTGTGTTTGCTATTATTTATATCAGACAGCAATACCTGTACCCGCCCGAATTTATATCAGACAGCAAAACCCGTGTTTGCTACCCGCCTTATGTAATTTAACAGCAAAACCCATGCTTGCTAACCAGCCATATATCTAATCGACAGCAATACCTTCTGCTACCACCATTAATTTTTAAACAGACAGCAATACCCTTTCTTGCTACCCAGCCAGTAATTTATTCAGACAGCAAATACCTGTTTTGCTACCCCACCAGGATTTTTTATATTCAGACGGGCCAATACCTGGCCTGCTACCACCCCAAATTATATCAAATACAGACAGCAATACCTGTCCCTGCAAACCCAAAGCCATTATATTTATTTTCAGACAGAAATTTCCCCTGTGCTTTTTTACCCACCCAATTATTTTTTAAAACCCGGGGGACAAAAATACCTGTGTTTGCTAACCAGCCGGGTATTTTTATATCAGACGGAAATTTCCCTTTGTGCTTGTTACCCAGCCAGTATTAATTTTAAAAAAAAGACACCCAAAACCTTCCCTTGGAAAAAACCCAGCAAGAAAATATTTAACAGACAGCAAATCCCCGGGGTTTGTTTACCCAGCCATTTTAATTTTTAAAATTCAAACAGCAAATCCCTTTTGTGTTTTGGGTTTTAACCCCCAACCCAGTTTAATTTATATCAGGACGGGGCAATCCGGGGTTGGTTTTGGCTACCCAACCAAGTTTTTTAATTTTTATATCAAAAACAGCAAATTTCCCTGTTTTTGTTTCCCCAGCCAGTTTATTTTATTCAGACAGCAATACCGTAAATTGGCCCCCAGCCAGGTTATTTATATAAAGATCAAAAATTTAACATTGTTGCTACCCACCCAGAAAAATTTTTAAATATCAGACAAAAAAATCCCTGTTTTCCCTACCCAGCCAAAAAATATTTTATATCAGACAGAAAAAATACCTGTTTTTCCCCATCCAAAAGCCCATTTAAAATTTAAATATAAAGGGCCCCAAAGGCCCCAAAAAACCTTTTGGTTTTGCTAACCAGCCATTTAATTTTATATCAGCCCAGAAATTTACCTGTGGGCACCCGGGCCAGTTTTTAAATTTTTATTTTCAAGAAAAAGGAAATTTTTAACCTGGTTTTGCTCCCCAGCAATAAAAATTTAAAAATCAGAAAAAGGCAATACCTGTTGGTTTTGCTCCCCCAGCCAGTTATATTTATATCGACACCCAATAGCTGTGCTTGCAAACCCACCCATTTAAATTTATTTTTTCAAAACAAGCAATAGCTGTTTTTTCCCTACCCAGCCAGTTATATTTTATATCGGGCCCAGAAAAATACCTGTGTTTTGCTACCCCAGCCAGTTTATTTAAAATTTTTCAGGATTAAACCCAAGTAATTTTTTTAGCAAGAGAAAATTTTTGACTTTCCACTGGTTCTTTTTGTCCCTTTATTTCCCTTTCCCCTTGGGGTATTTCCTTTAAATTTTCCCTTTTTACAAAACAAAAATTTTCCCTATTTTTTCTTATGATTTCTTCAAAAAGCTTTGGGTTTTTTTGCAATTTTCCCATTTAAAAAACCTTTAATTCTGCTTATAAAAACAAATCTTTCTTTTTAATGTCATACTTTTGAAAAGCGGGGGCCCCTTTGTAAAAAAATTATCAAAAAAAATTTTAGTTTTACCCAAATAAGGGTCATAATCAGCATTTTTTCGATTTGCATAGATCTAAAATTTTTCCCAAAAAATTTTTAAAAATTTAAACGGGTTTTGCCTCCAGTTTTTAGAGTAATTTTCATTAAAATTTGGGGAAAAGGAAAAACTTTTTCAAGTGAAAAAAAGAAATTTAAATTTAAAAAAATTACAAACAGCATTTAAAGGGCTTTTTTAAACAAATACTGCCCAACCCAGCCCATTATTGCATAAAAACATTTTAAAATTATTAAAAAAAAACCGCGTGGAATTTTTTTTTTTCAAATTTCTTAAAGTTTTAAAAAAAAATTAAATCTTTAAAGGTTTGATTTTTAAATCAAAATGAAAAACTAGGCTTTTTTTCTCCCCCGGAGACTTTTCCCCCTTTGAACCGGGTAAGGCCCGGTCGAAAATTATTTTCCAGAGTTACTTCTCCAAATCCCCGGTACTCTTTTTTATTGGAGGGCTGCCCACTGTCAACTTTTTCGATTTGGGTTTACCAGAAATTTTTTTTTTGGGCCAAAA